TCCTGTGCACTGTAGGGTGTCTAGCAGCATCCCTGGTCTCCACCCACTAGTCGTTCTCTGTGGTGGGGCCATCCTGTGCACTGTAGGGTGTCTAGCAGCATCCCCGGTCTCCACTCACTAGTCATTCTCTGTGGTGGGGGCCGTCCTGTGCACTGAAAGGTGTTTAGCAGCATCCCCGGTCTCCACCCACTAGTCATTCTCTGTGGTGGGGGCTGTCCTGTGCACTGAAAGGTGTTTAGCAGCATCCCTGGTCTCCACCCATTAGATGCCAATAGCATTCTCCCCTTGCTGTGAAGACGAAAAATGTCTCCTGACCTTACCCAATGTCCACTAGGGGGCAGCATCATCTCCAGATGAACACCAGGGATCAGGAACGGTACATACTTGAATACCCAAATTCAGGTTTTTTATTTCATAAAAAATTAATCATGTTAACACCATGCTTCAGCAAATGTGATCTTGATCAGGAAAGAGTTATTATTCTTTTTTAGAATGGGAATCTTCCTTCTCGTTTCAAGCAGATTCTCCGCCTCCCTTTGATGTAGCAAACACACAAAAACTTGCCATACAGGTTTCAGTTTCAGCGTGGTAGGGCGTTATATGGTTGAGCTTAACTCAGCTTTGATTTTCATCTTTAGGTGGCAAAGGAATGGGGGGCTGGCAACGGGGAATCCGTGTCCGGTGGCCGACAGTCCTGGAGGCTGGGAAAGTGATTGATGAGCCAACGAGTCTGATGGATATCTACCCCACGTTGTCCTATGTCGGTGGAGGGATACTGCCCCAGGACAGGTACGGAGATCAAGGCTGCTTTTAATTTATGGGTATTTATTCAGCGTGCACGTGGTTACGTTAGAAACTTCTATACCTGTGTAATATATTCCTTGGAATCTCTGGGTAGTGCAGACCGTGAACACGTTCGGCTGCTAACCAAAAAGTTGGCAGTTCAAGTGCACCCAGAGGCACCTCGGAAGAAAGGCCTGGCCATCTACTTCCAAAAAAATTAGCAATTGAAAACCCTACGGAGCACAGTTCTACTCTGACACTCTTGGGGGCACCGTGAGCCGATTCTGACTTGATGTCAACTGTTATATTGTCAGCACGTTGCTTAATTATCAATATTCTACCCAAGGATCAGACAATATCTTTCTCCCCTTGGCTCATGATGGAGTGATTTTCTCATTTGCCTCTTAGAATATGTCTTGCTTTCTCTCTCATATTATATTCTGTCTCCTATAGTTACATATACATGAGTTTGTATTCTTCATGGTAGGATCTATATCTGTTTATATTTTATACCCATCATGGTATAGGGTCACTATGAGTCAGAATGGACTCGACGGCCATGGGTTTGGTTTTGGTGCTCATGCTATCTACATCATTTAGTAAATATTTGTTAAATGAACTGACAACCAAAAATGTGCGTGAATATATGTGGGATTCATTATGCCGTAACTTCTCTTTCACACGTTCTCTGCGGGCTTCGAAACGCATAAATACTCCTTGGTGTGACCTGGGATGTGCTGTCTGCTGTGCAGTTTTCCTCGAATTCCACGAATGAAAAGAACTCAATTTTTTTCATTTCATGACATTAATTTGTATTGCTTTGCAGGGTATCGATGAATGTGTCCAGCTTTTCACCTCTCACATTGTCTTAGAAGATGAATAATGACTTTTTTCTTATAAAATTAGTCAAAATGTGTAGTACATTAAAGATAATGTATTCCTCTTTGTCTTCTGCTTCCCTCTTCCTCC